GTAATTTTGTCACGGTTACCCTGGGGGCCATTCGCCTAACGGAAATGCTTTGGAAAACGCTAACGCTTACGATTTTATTTTGTTATTTCTAGCCGCCTGAGGTATTCAAATGCCTCGCGCTCTTTCTTTTTCTTTTGCATTGGTAATAACAATATTAAAAAAATTAGCGTGAGGTATTCGAAAACCTCAGGCGGCTAGAAATAACAATATAAAATTGTAAGCGTTAGCGTTTCCCAAAGCATTTCCGTTAGGCGATTGGCCCCCTGGTCTACTAACTAAGGTCAGAAATGAGACAACAGAATACCATGCAAAATAATTATTTTAATAAAAACGACCCGGAGAAATCAAAAATTATACAGGTGGGGTTGAGCACTTAATCCACACAAGTTCTTGGCTTCGTCGGTTCAGGTACTCTGCTGTGTAACGCCGGGTAGTTGGTAATCCCGGGAGTCACGTTATGGAAACCGCTGGCGACTGGAGGCTGCAGGAAGGGGTAGCTGAGCCCGGCAGAGAGCACTCTCGTGTGGTGGAAGTAGGGGCTGTGGGGTGATACCGGCAAAATTGGTATCCCGAGCGTTGAACCCTGGAACGCGCCATTAAAATACAATTAATTACAAGCGGTCCAGTACTATTTTGCGAACATCCACGGGCACTGCGTCGTAAAAGAAAGTACATAATTGTAGTAGTAGTGCCGTGAAATCATTACATTCAGAAACGGAGATTACAATTTCGACAAATAAATGGATTGACAATCAAAGGACATTGTTCTGCGTACATACATAGTTAGCCTAAGAACCAACAATCATAAAATATTATTTTATAGGTTCGAAATCGCAAGTAAATGACTGTAAAAACAAAGATTATTGACGGACACTTCTGAGAACTTAAATTATTAGGTAAACTAAAATTTTTTTGAGGTTATGTTTTATATTTAATGAAATATAGGTCAACCTATGAACTTAGTATGAACTCAGTATGAAGTGAATTAATATTACAACTAATTAATTTTATTCGGTGCGATTTTAAAGAATAACTATTAGGAAAGGTTAAAACTTGGTTAGGTAGGAATCATGAATAAAATAAAAACTGTAGTTTTGCTTCTTATTATTTATTGACTATTTTTCACATAATTGTATCATATTGTATAATGTATTTATTTGTTTAACACATGTATATTGTATAAATATGCAGCGTGAATGTGCATCAGGTGCTCTTGAATAATTTGGCAGTATGATCCTCTCAGGATGTTGTGGCACAGGTTCACTAGCACTTGGTAATAAGGTCTTTGCTCCTTGCGCCTTGGTAACATCGATGACATATTAGATAGCCGAAATAGTAATAGTTAAATTAAAGGAAAAACAATCGCACATAAACACACACAGCAGGTAATCCGAAACGAGAATTTTCCGTATATAAAAAGTACTCTTTGACGATTGACGAGAATGCACGAATACCACAGATTACTATGAATGCAAACTGCCTGCACCACAACCACAGAGTATCGAGTTTATGCCGGCCCTTCACTTGACAACAGTTTGTCTTTGTCATGCTTAATAAGGAATGAAAAGGACAGACTGATGTCATGTTTTTAAATAGCAAATACGAATAGCCAAGTGAAGTGCCGGCATTAGGAAGAAAGTGTTTTGTTTGCAGCGCTGTCATAGATTATACACATAAAATGGTATTTATTGTATCAGATTATTTAGTAACTTTTTAATTTAGCTTACTTAACTGGAAGTGTCCGTCACAATCTAAATACTGATAATTATCGCAAAAAATATACTAATAATTATCATAAATGCCAAATTCGTGTTGGTTCTTAGGCCAATTTTAACATTGTCCTTTACGTATATCACGTATATTTAAAAATTATTGAAATATGAGGGTGGAATTAAACGACGATGAAATCTTTATGTAGCAAATGTATGCAAAATTAATATAAATGTGATTTATATTCATATGCATAACATGCATTATGCATACAAACATTGGGTTTGAAAATTATTTCTTACACTAATAACTACTTTAACTGCCTGCGACATTAAAATTCCCACTTACCCAGTTTCGGGGCGGTCGACACTCACTTCACAATAATTTATGGTATTATTTATTTGAGGAACGCTTAGCGACGATCACGAAAAATATTATATTATGGTTGCGAGTTTCAAAGATGATTTTTTCCCATATTAGAGACCAAAAAATTCTATGTGACGTACGCTACGTTCACTCAAATTAGATCGAGAAATGAAATGAAATGGCGGGCGGCCGGCCATGCAGTTTTAGCTTAGCGAGAACAAAAGATCCTGCTTGGAGCGCTAGAATAGTTTTATTATTGTAAATAGTCAATTTGATTTTTAATATTATTATGAATTGTAAATAATTTAGTTATAATAAAATTGTGTTTTATTTTTATCAGTAGTTTTTAGTGTAGAATTAAATCAAATAGTGTTATTATTAAGTTTTAGGCATTGTAAATATTAATTTTAAGTGTATTTTAGGGTAATAATATGAATTATGTAACGCATAACGTTACAATTTTTATTTCTGCAGTGCTACTCTGTAATTTTTTTTTGTGAAATTTTACAGATTGCACTGTTGATTTTCTCAATTTTTCTCTTTAACTATTCATACAAATAGATTGTCTCTGTTTTGGCGAATTAACTTAAATAATTAATTAAATATCATAAAAAGAAAGTCATATTACCGATAGTATAAGAAAGTAACATGTAGGAGTAAGAAATACGTTAATATAATTTTCCAATTGTATCATTGGACGATGTAAAGGAAGTTAAGGGCAATGTGTTACTCCTGCGGCAAATCTGCGTGTAATCGTCGCCAGCAGTCTCCTTTAAGTAGTGTTGTGCTGATACAAATAACATATCGATAAAGTTTTCAGATAGGCGTATTACGTAGTACATACACTCGACAGCAATGAATCTGGGTCACTTAAAGAATCCTAAAAATCTTGCAATCCAAGAATGCTAGCTTAATGAAATAAATTCTAATTCATAGAAAATTAATTACTTCTTAAGTGAAGATATTAAAACTTCTTAGTTATTGTAAAGTCATATCATTAAAAATCTAATTTGAAAAAGTCAGACTCGAAGATGGAAGTACGCAATTACTGCATTTGTTTTTTTGTTATTAATCTGTCATTTATCGTTCATATAAACCATGTCGATAGTATTCAATATTACTTATTGAAGCTGTAATCATGTCGCTTACACCTCAAGAATGCACCAGAATTCTCACAATGCTGGAAACCGGCCGGAGTCAGCGCGATACAGCCAGGACTGTCGGTGTGTCGCTGTCAACAGTACAAAGAGTTCTCCGACGTTACGAGGAAAGTAGCTCTAACCTACGCAGACCAGGAACAAGCAGAACCAGGCGTATCACAGCACGAGAAGATTGATATTTGGTGAACACCATGCTTCGAAATCGCTTTCTCACAGGAACTGAAATAACAAATCAGTTTCGACGCCTCGGAGGAAGTAACCCAAGCCTATGGACAGTAAGACGACTTGTTGAAGCTAACTTGAAACCACTTAGATCTGCAAATGGCCTTAAACTGGAGCATGGGCATCGTATTTCAAGATTAAGATATGCCCAGAACCACTTAAATTGGACTATTGATGATTGTTCAAAGTTATGTTCTCCGACGAATCAAAATTTATGCTCTACAAGCACGATCAAAGACACAGAGTATAGAGGAAACCTGGGGAAAGATTCAAGCAAGCATCCATCGAAGAAAAAGTAGCCCACGGTAGTGGGTCTGTACTGGTGTGGGCCGGAATTTCTTCTGAGAGTCGCACAGAACTGGTGTTCATAGAAAACTGCTATTTAACTAGCGAAAGATATGTATAAGAAATCTTTCAATTTGGGTGAGGATGCTATTTTTATGCATGACATACCCGACCTCATACAGGTTGGTTTGTGAATCACTACCTTCAAGAGATGCACATTACTTGTATGGAGTGGCCAGCATGCAGCCCGGATATCAACCCGATCGAGCATGCTTGGGACGAGCTAGGGAGATGCAACGATCGCAATTCTCTATTTCTACGTTTGCGATTCTTTATGCATGGCACTTGTACTAATCGGTATTCCGTGCACGTGTTCAAGGGTTAGACCTCAGGTGCCCTGTGTTTAAAAAGTATCATTCCAGTGATTTAATTAGGTTTGAATTATGAAAAAAGTTTACCAATCAATTTTAACATAACCAAGACCAAGGAGGCGGAAATCTATTGGGCGGTGACAGCCAACCTCGTTCCATAATGGAGACTGCGCGAGCAATTTCTTCTTATGTTGGACACAGTAACCTAACCTAACCTAACAATATGAGATTTTCATGATGTAACATTTTGAAAAGGTTTTTCGTAAAACAACGAAACCCTCCCCCAATTACGATTCGTGAGCTCAAAATTGCTATCACAGAGGAATGGGAGAATATTCCCCAAAATCGTATAAGAAAAGTGACCCGGATTCATTGCTCGCGAGTGTAGTTTTAAAGTAGCGATTAATACTTGTTAATATTTTTTTTCTGGTAATAATAAAAAATCCCTTATACGCATTTGGAGTAATATGCCAAGTTACAAGTAACTGCGGCATACGGTTGTCAATCAATCAATTTTCATAACAAAGTTATTCAACCGACAGCATCTCATGAAAAGAGCAATGCGCATCACTAGATTTCTGGCATCTATGAATATTCATACCACGATCGACGTGCCTTCTCTTTATTCACTGTAAACACGTGTACGTGTCCTCCCAAGCCTGTCTTGTATTATGTATAAATACTCAATCTATCTGTTTTACTTAAACAAAATCAAAATTAATTAATTAGATACGAGTTTTAAAACTCAATAGTTTTATACCTAGCTATTCTAAAAGCACTTTTCAATTTTTATTTGCAACGGTAAATTGTTTTTTTTTTAATAGTACTTACTTACCTAAGCGTAAATGGATTTTAATGCGTCTTTATTTATTGCAAAATAAAAAGACAAGTTTAATCAAGTTTAATCAGTTTTTTGTAAAAAAAACATTTTTGTCGAGAGCCACGGATCGTTTAAATGAGACGTTACGATTCAAATCAAAATAAGAATAACGGATAGTGAGGTATACGATTATTTTCTTCAAACTACTTTTAACTGGTGTTCCAGTTCCAGTACAGATTGGGTGATCAACATGACAATTTTTCGATTGTCTAGGCTACTGGCGCTTCTTAGTAGGGAAATTATACTTCTTTGAAAGCTGCGACTGCCGGGCTAACCACTTATCTCTTTGCGTCTGTTTGCACGTTTTTATAGACGGACTCTCCAATGGAAATGAATCGGGCAACCATTTTCTGAAAATAAGGTAAGTTAACAAATTAGTATTTTTAGCTAGTCTTTACCATTGGGAATATTTACCTCCACTTCCTCTTTTATTTTACAATAATGAGTATCAAATTTAAGTAATTTAATGCTTTGATGTGCTAGATTTTATTCCTACAAAAACTTCCTATAAAAATATAGATAAATTAAAATACTTGGGGACACAATTTATATCTAAGATTGTGTGCTGCCTTGATGCTGTCACTTTCTTCAAGGAGCAATACAATTAGAAACGCGTCAAACAGATGAACATCTATTTACTTTTATAATACAAATATTAGTATTTTTGTACAAAGTTTAGCAAATTATTCCAGGTCTACCTGTTGTTAAAGGTAAGTGTCTAACTGACTGAGTGAGGAGTGCTGCATTATCCATTTCAGCAAAGTGATAACTAACTATTCAACAAGTTATGAAACCGCTCTGGTCCTACATTAACATTTTTTGGTTAGCATACAAAAGGGTGACAACATGAACAGAGTTCTAAGCTCTGGTTTCATAGGATAGCGGTGGCGGCAGATAGAAGTGTGTGGATCTTTCCACAAATCGTCGTCGTAAGGACGTTCGACCTTCTACGTCTATTATGGCCACTATATGACGATACTCTACCACTACACGTCGGTCATCTTTTTTGGTTATGTACTAATCTATTAAAATTTCGTCATCCTTGCTGCTTTCGAGCTTTTTCAGCAGTTCCAGTTGGAGTTGGAACTCATTTTGTACGTCGTCCCGGTAAAAAAACACAGATATGTATAAAATAGTTACAAAAACAGATTCATCACTACCAAATAAAATGTTCACGAACCATCGACACCAACCGACAAGATGACCGTCATGCAAATGGCGGCACCGATTTTCAACGATACAGTGTGGTTTTGGAAAATATACGGTTTTTGCCCGACTACGTTGTATTTTATGCAATGGTACCGAACCTTTTATGCGCTTGTCCGACTCGTTCTTAGTCGTATACTACTCTACTACTTCATACTACGGATGAAATACTAAATTCAAAAATATTTTTTAGTAGATAAAATAAGCTCACTTGTCTATTGTTTTCTCGGGCAATACAATGTCATTGAATATCTTTTGAAACGAACTCGCAGTACTAGCAGCTACTACGCTTTTACGTAGACTGCCGGTTCGGGAAAATGATCTAGAACTAGAAATAATCATAAACACATGATAATAAACCTGTTATGTGGGTATAGATTTAATATAACAAATAATATCAAAATTATGTACCTATGTGTCGTAGAAAGATTTTATAAATCGAATTTTCTCGAAAATTCTAGGGATTTTGCAAAACCGTGGATAATTAAACAATGTCGATGACATTTCTCAATCGTACTGAAAAAAGATACAAATTTTGCGAAAACGCGAGTCGCCTGAGTAAGAGAAAAAGAGTCTTCTTATAAATATTTTTGGTTTTCCGGTTCTTGGTTCACACTAGGTTAGGTTAGTGTTGTGACCATGATGGCCGGCGAAGCGTCAGAAAAAAATATTTCGTTAACAGTAACATTGGACTTTTTGGCGGGTTCGGGAAGCGTCACTTTAGCAGTTTTGTTTTTCTTGTTAAAAAATGTGTTGTGGTGGATGTTAGCGACTAATAATGGTGGATTATTATCTACTTAGTGTTCGGGAACATGCACAAGTGCTGGCAAGTGAAACAAAATAGCAGAAAGTGTCTTTCGACGTTCCCTCAAGAAGTCCATGGGAAGGTTCCAGTAAATCCCCACACATTTACTGAAACATAGGGAAAGGGGGATTGACTTGACTGTCACTTACTTAGACTTGATTGATTACTTTGACCACGAGTGCTATAGAATTAGTAAACATTTTATCACTTGACACTGGCTAAATGCACAAGCCGTGCGAAGCTATTTAGAAAAAAAAACAGTAAGATTGAGTAATTTCGTCGTCATTGTCTTATTGTTCGCGTTTTTAGAATTTTTGCGAAAATTCGATTTATCAAATCATCCTACTACAAAAGTATGTACTTCGAATGTTATTCATTATTTAGTTCTTTCCTTTCACAGAGCTGATAGAAGAAATTACAGTATAAAATAAGCGGTACCCTTGTATACGCCTCTTTTTCCTGTTTTTAGATTAACAGAACATTAAAAAAAATCTTATGTAACATACGTTAACTTCTTAGTCCTTTTTTACATATGCCACCGTTAAATAGTTAATACCGTTAGTTAATAATCTATCTCGCTAGATAATAAACTGTCGATAGTTTGTGAACCGTGACATACTGCTCACAATTTAACGCATTATATTTCGGTAGATTATAATCTAACGAAAAATAAACTGTTAAAGCACAATCTGTCACGCGGTAAATTGCCAAATATCCGAACGCTTCCCTGATTCTTTGGTCATACAGTAGGCCTTTCTAAGGCGATAGGAATTCTTTGGCACTTCTTTGTGTAATTACAGATTCAGTTTACTTCCACAAAATTTCATTAATTAAGCTAATTTTATAAAACTTTAAAGCTTTAAATTTATATTTAACACGAAATCAATCTACAGTCCTAATAATAATAATAATTTATTTCCAGTAAGAGTTGATTTACAATTTAACTTATAATGCTAAAACAGTACTATTATCTTTAACATAATTACATATTTATCTGCTGCCGAGCTAGGCAAAATGCCTGTATTACGGCATACAGCACCAATCCCCTTAGCACATATGGCATCATAAATCCGTTACATTCAACATTAAATGGAAAAGACAAGAAACTGACATATATATTCAGAAAATGTGTGTGTGTGTGCGTGTGTGGTATGTGTGTGTGTGTTAGTGAGTTTTGCGTATAATAATATGATATGTTGTTGCTATAATTACATTTATTATAAATTTCTCACTTCAGCACAATGTTTTTCCCACATCTTGGAAGAAAGCCAATGTCATACCCATTCCCAAGGTTCCAAATCCATCTTCTCTGTCTCAGTATCGTCCCATCTCTATACTCCCAATCCTATCCAAAGTCCTTGAGTCCATCGTTCATAATCAGATTTATTCCTTTGTCTCATCTAATTCTTTACTTTGTCCCCAGCAATCTGGCTTCCGTCCTTCACATAGCACTGTCGGAGCACTGCTTGATGTCACTGAGGACATTCGACATGCAATGGATAATACCAAGCTTACGGCTATAATTTTGCTTGACTTCAGCAGTGCTTTCAACTGTGTCGACTTTGACCTTCTTTTGGGCACTCTTCAGTCTGCTAATGTTTCTCCTTCAGTTATAGAATGGTTTCGGAGTTACCTTTTTGACCGTTTCCAACGAGTGGTCTATAATGACTCGTGCTCTGACTGGGTACGTGTATTGGCAGGTGTACCGCAAGGTGGAGTTCTCTCCCCTTTACTCTTCTCCATCTTCATTAATAAGATCGCTTCTGTTATCTCTTCTCCTTTTCACTTGTATGCTGATGATCTTCAGATCTACCGACACTTTCTTACCGGTGAAGTTTGCGATGCTAATGCCTTGTTAAATCGTGATCTGGTCTCCATTTTAAGCTGGGCAACGTCGTTTGGTCTGGCAATAAATCCAAGCAAATGTCAGGCTATGATTGTGGGTAACAGCCGGCTCAGGAGTAGACTGGATTGGAATATTGTTCCTCCACTCCTCTACAACAATATTTAAATACCATACACTGACAAAGTTAAAAACCTTGGTTTGATAATGGACTGTAACATGTCATGGTCCCCGCATATTGGTGAAGTTAGTAAGCGTATACATTACTCTTTCCACTCTCTCAAGCGACTTCAATATTTTTTACCATTTAAAACCAAAATTATGTTAGCGCAATCACTCCTTCTTCCAATTCTCGACTACGCCGATATCTGTTATCCTGATGCAAATGAAGAGTTACTCAATAAATTAGAACGACTCCAAAATTTAGCCATACGATTTATATTTGGTCTGCGGAAGTATGATCATGTGTCAGCTTATCGCTCTCTACTTCAATGGCTCCCTATTCGTCTTCGCCGAGATTTGCATATGCTTGTCTTTTTATTCAAGATTCTCAAAGATCCAAACTCCCCAGTATACCTGCATTCCCGATTTAAGATTCTTCCCCGTCCTTCACGCTCTAGGCGACCTTGCATTACTAAGACGCTTGAGCTTCCTAAAAGTAATACCATCTCCTATTTGAATTTTATTTATGTAGGTATATAATATCATGTAATGTATATATATGTGTAATGTGTATCGTATATATATATATATATATATACTAGCGGACCCGACAGACGTTGTCCTGTAAAAAAACATTGTCCAGCGGACAAAATTGTGAATCTAAACCATTCTCAGATCCCCTTGAACACACACAAAAAATTTCATCAAAATCGGTCCAGTCGTTTAAGAGAAGTTCAGTGACATACTAAGTTGTGAATCTCCGACACCACCTAGGTTGGCTGGAAGAGATCTCTTTTAGAGATAAGCCCACCTTTGCTTACTATGTATTTGACTATATGTTTTAACTATATGATGCAATAAAGAGTATAATAAATATGTATGGTATGGACTGTACTACATTATGTTTATTATTATGTATTGTTACCTATTGGCTAAATTATTTAATGTCCTCCTTAAGTCCTCAAAACACTTTGTTTTCATTCGGCAACAAACGAATCAACAAACAATCTCTCGAGATAGATTATAATCTAACGGTATTTACAATTTTCGGTGACATAAACATGCCTAGATACGTATTAAATGCACGGAAGCGGCCAAAAAAGACAGATACGCTCGTCGCTACACACGCACACATTGATTGCTTTCATATAATCTGACAGTAGAGTCATGCACACATTGCGCGTATCTTGCATGATCCGTTTCCTTTGCGTGGTTTATTGAATTACTCTATTTTGGCGTGTATATAATCAAAGTTCTTGGTCTTAATGTTATAAGTGCAGACCTTCTGCTGGCTGATGACGCAGTTGATACGACTCCTTTGACCTCCATTAACATGGTGTCAAATCGTGAACGAGGTAAGCCTATTATTCCCAACGTCAGCCCTTTATCTTTGAACGCGGTTTCGCTTGTAGTTAATACTCTCTCCAAGTACAACTGTCGAGATGTTAAACTGAAAAATTAAGGGAGATAATATGAATTATAAGGAATATAATTTTAAAATATCCAGTACTAATAGTATCTGAGCAAAGCTGCAGATAGACGAACGAACGGACGACGAAAAATGGATATAGAGAAAGTTCCTGTTGCCTCGAAACCCCTAAAAAGCTTAAGTGCGAGTTGTAACTTACCTAAACTTAAATTGTTCAGTTATAGAATCTCTTAATTTTTTTTGAAGTTATACTTCTTTAGGCGCGTTATGATAAAATGATGAGAGTGAAATTTTAAGATGCGCATGTTTACCGCACATTAAGAAAATCTACCAACAAAATAGAAATAGAATCTCTATTTAGTGGGTGCTAACGACTGCATTGTGAAGGCCTATCAAAAGTATTTATTAATCTGGAACAACGGAACCAAAGCGCGATTCAGGAGACTACAGCGCCATCTCTTGACCATTGGTGTAGTAGAACCAAAAACCACATCTTTATTTTTTGTAATAAAGTAACAGTTATAGGTATTCATATTTATAATATTTATCCATATGTTTCTAGTTTGTATATTCGGAATACGTGTTTGAGTTTCATACAAGTGCAAATCACATATGTTCTAATAAATTATATTCAGTAGCGATTTTAATTGAATATTTTGATAATTTATTTATTTTTTCAAATTAAAACTGAACTTTATTGACTGTGTCCTTTTCCAGACTTTTTATTAATTTATTGTAATTAATTATTTGCATGCAATTAAAAACTAATTTTAAACGATGCCAAAGAAGGATAGCTTCTCACGCGCCTACATAAGTACACGCACCCATTTTTTTTTTATTTGGCTTACAAAACTGGTTACAAAGAATATCCATATAAATATATGCATACAAAAAAAAACATAGCACAACATGCATTTCTAAAACATGCAAGCACAACATGCATTTCTAAAACTACCTAACTCTTAATGTAATCACACCTTTTTGAGAAAAAAATACGTAATCACCATGCTATTTTATAAACTATAATAGCTGGCTTTTTAAGATCTCGTTTAAAGATCACATAAATATAAGACAATTGCTATAAACATAATTTCACAAAGATAAGTATATATAAAGTTATAATATTTTTTCTAATTTTCAAATTACTTTTTTGCCTCTCCTGAAAACTTGGAGTTACGGTAATTCATATTACAAGTGATGATATGACTCCATGTCATATTTTTAATACATATTTTTAAAACTATATCTTGTTTTCAATTCCCAAATTACTTTCTCTATTGCTAATTTTAACTAGACCTCTGAGTGACAACTAGTTTTATCTGAAAATCAAATGTATATCAGTCGTAAATTCTAGTTTTTACTAGTCATATCTAGTTTTAACAAAGGCGTTTAGTAAAAACTAATTTTAAATAGGGAAAACGCGTTCTGTCTGAAAACGGGGTTTGACTGTAACATATATATGTCAACGATCGCAATTCTCTATTTCTACGTTTGCGATTCTTTATGTATTGCACTTGTACTAATCGGTATTCCGTGCACGTGTTCAAGGGTTAGACCTCAGGTGCCCTGTATTTAAAAAGTATCATTCCAGTGATTTAATTAGGTTTGAATTATGAAAAAAGTTTACCAATCAATTTTAACATAACCCAGACCAAGGAGGCGGAAATCTATTGGGCGGTGACAGCCAACCTCGTTCAATAATGGAGACTGCGCTAGCAATTTCTTCTTATGTTGGACACAGTGACCTAGCAATATGAGCTTTTCTTGGTGTAACATTTTGAAAAGGTTTTTCGTCTTTCGCCTGTGCTCTATTAAATTAAAGCATTGCGACTTAAATATTCGGTGTACTTCCAGTTCTGTGAAATGTAAGATATAACATCGACCAATCACCAATCAAAGTGTAAATGAGCAAACATCATAAAACATAAACAAAGTAATCCATACCTATCGTGTTAAATGCTCTACGTCCTAGTGCTATCCATATTATTTGTACGAATATACTAATAAGGGATTCAAATATGAATGCTTCCTTGTTAGACAACGACTTAGATTTCTTATCCGTTCCCATATGGTGGAATGGCTTGTAATCTTGAGCACCTAAAAATATATAAATGGATATATTAATCGGTGCCAGTGAATTCTTCTGAATATTGCACCCAGCAATCCGTACTGGGTGTTCGTGGTGGGTCATGGACTCTTCTCGGTATTCCGTTTATTGGAAAGGTCTGTGCATTATCAGCGGTGATGTTAACAGACTCATGTCATGATGATACATTTCATGACATAAAATTAATAAAGTTGTGGTTAAATGGTTTAGTGAATATAGTAGTAAATTTTACCTAGAATGAAGTTACAGTATTCTTTAGCGACTAACAAACGTAAGTCCTCTAAATTGTTACGATAGCTGATTTCCACGCTCAAACTGACACCAGTGCGAACTTTGCTTTCTGCTTCAATTAACCGATTATTCATAATATCTGACACCTACAGCAGTGAAAATAAATATGTTATTAAGAAAATAATCAACTAAAAGCTCATAAGCTTTACAGGTTAATAACAATTTTACCTGGAGAAAATATTGGCAATATAGAATCAAAGCTCTGATAAATCGCTCACAAGATTGTAGATGAAGTATCTTTATTATCGTGTTATTCAAGATACATGTAGGTGCTGTAAATAGCACAACGTCTTTTATATCCTGAAATTCAAAGTAATTTGGTTATTGTTAATTTGGTGGTGTATCATTTTATTATTATGTTGAGCGTAGGTAACCTGAAGAATTATAACGTCATCTTCACCTTCATATTTTCTTTGATAACGTTTTCTGAATCTTTGCTGTAAGAAATGAAAAATATTCAGAATCTTGGTAGATTAAAAGAAGGGAAAAGGGAAAAATGTATCACTTGTACAACACTCACTTGTTCTAATAGGTCTAAATCATCACTGAATTCGACCGGTCCATTTTTATATACAGCAGTAGTATGGCTTTGAAAGTCTTCATCTGTTCTAGTTTGGTTGCTGTAGTTTATTATACAATTAAGGCACTTCGTACACAACGCTACCTAAATCTTCGATACCTAATGACATGGGTCTCTACTCTAAGCAATTCCCGCAGTACAAAACAAGTGCATGTGTACGTATCTGTATCGCTAGTTGCTTAGAAACTAAAGTCGTCAACCATCAAGCGTCGTCGTCGGTATCGAAGATTTGCGTAGCGTTGTGTACGAATGGGCTCACATTTATGTTTTTCTGCCGGATCCTAGTAATATTGGTCAACGCTTGGCCATTCTTAATTTAGTTTAAAACTTGCATAAAGTATAAGCCCTATGATAAAATCTAAGTCTCTTAGGTTCGTATTACAGAATGACAACTAAGTGTTGATCTTTACTTGAATACAGTTAGAAAGGGATGTCGCTATGTGTGTATAGATCAATCACTGAGAATCTTTCTATAATACGGGCCTAAGTCTGTTATTTATCCTATTGTCTTTTTAACCGACTTCATACTAAGAAGAAAGAGGTTTTATATTCATCGTATATGTATATTGGCCTACGCAGACGAGGAAATTTTGTCCTCCCTCAATCGTAATAAAACTGTCCGTCGAGAACTTGTCAAGGACAACGCACACGATGTGCGATGTTTGTTGCCCGGAAATTTAGAAAAGCACACGTTATCAAGTATTCTGATATTACGTTTTGTTGTAATCAATACGAAGTTTATGAAAAAGAGAAGACGTTTTAAAAGAGAATACTGTTTCCATCTAATTAAATCTGATCGAGCGCCCAACGCGGATTAAAGATTGCTGTGTGCGTTGCTGCGCCTACTCACTTGAGTTCTAGTTTTACCATACTTTTGCCTAGTCCGGTATTGCGGTGTCCTCGGTTGCTCGGGGGACTTTTTGTACGCGGTAATTTTTATCCCTCGTGTGCGATACTCAATGCAGTTCTTAGCGATTTATTTTGGGTAAACAAAAAAGATCGTAGACAAGACCCTCGTCTTCACCAGCCATTAAACATAATTTGAAAGCTTTAACCCGTGGCTTCAACAAATAAAATATAACATTTCAAAAAGTGTCTTTGAAATGTTTTAACTGTGTTACTGTTAAATGAACTTTATACTTTATTTAACATTGAGGATATCTGGAAAATATGATAAATGTTTGTTGTAAATTATTGCCTTAGAAATATGAGTATTTTCTCTTTATCGCTCCATTCCCAGTGGCCATCACTATATGGCGTGTTGAAATCGTCTTCGTCATCATCTTGCGCGTCAAACATCTTGCTCTCTATAAAATAAACTACATTAAATAATACAATAAAGATTCACAAAAACATGATAAACAATTCACAAAATACACTGACTTATATATGTCAGTGTCAAGTCAGTTTATGCCGACTTCACACTTGTGCCATGAAATGCCTTGAAATAATGACTGAGGAGCTCGATGGTGCTAGTGGTAAGCGCGTTCGACTGGGATCGTTGAAGTTAAGCAACTTTCAAAGTGCTCGGTCATTGGATGGGTGACCACAAATTTACTATCTCGAGCACCTTCATGCTTGGGAAGGCACGTTAAGCTGTTGGTCCCAGCTGCATCTGCAGTAGTTCATCATCATCATCAGCCTATTAATGTCTCCACATCCGCACGGGGCCCGCGTGGAGGATCATAGCCCAATCTCCCTAGTCCATCCCATCCATAGGGAAGGCCTGTGCCCCAGTAGTGGGGACATTCATAGGCTAATGAAGGTGAATGGCGTGTATTCACATCAGTGGTGATGACTCTACATCGAACGCGCGTGAAGCCGCGATAACCACGATAACCATTCGCATTCACGTTAACGCTTGTTCGCGGAAATTCACGTCACAAGTGTGGTGCTGGTAAACATAACAAAAGTTAGTTATATTCCAAAGGTTATTTTGTAACTACCTGTGTATTTGTTCGTAGACGGCCCAAGGGATTAATAACCGATCCCTACGTGGGTACTGAATTTTAATATTCATGGTGGACAGGATGAAATAATATCAGCAGTTTGTTTTCATTCAACTAATGTCTATCATATTGCAATGTAGAAATCAATAATTGCTTCATACCTGTTATTATAAACTCAAAAAAAATATTGGTACCTACACAAGTTACATATTTTATCTTCTCATTTTTTTTTGTAGCGGACAAATGTACTTTGTGCGAATGTGCATCCAAATCATATCTGATTGTATTCCTCTGCAGCTAGCAATGTTTTCCGCTTCCTACACGGGTTTCAAGAAGGGAAGTCTCTGCATGATATCGTTGTATATTGGTGGAGCAGCGATTTACACCATTCATCATTATCATCCTGAGCTTTTTTAATGTCCGCACTGCTGGGGCACATGGCCTTTTTTATGCAGAGAAAAGGAAGAGGATTCACCACGCGCGCCTAACGGATTGGTTGGAACGAAACGTACAACTGTAAATTCTGGCGGGAACTGCTTCTATTGCAGAAACTAAATTAAAAACCGTTGCGAAGCTTATAAGATCTTAGAGTATACAGACAGCGGGAGCTATTTCGTTTTATACTGTGTAAAGATCAAAGTTACCAATGTCAAAGCGGAAGGAAATATAGACGTACTATAGATACGTATGTCTTCCATATATACAGATGGGGTTGTTAGGAAAAGCTTAATCGGTTGGCACAATGCTCACCATGACACGTATACAGTTTAATAAGCATACTTATCTAAAATATGTTGTGATTACGGCTGAACGTTCGTCCTTTGAAAGCGTTTGGTGGACCGAGAGACCCTTGGCTATCAACAAACCAATCATGGGTTCATAACGAGCTCATACGCTGTCACTGTTCTGGAAACTCGGGCAAGGGCGGACTATATTATTAGGTTTGCTTTTTATGGATATTGATTACGTATAGTACCTTTCACTCGAGTTTTAGCAAAAACTAAATAAGGATTAAGTTCTTATTTAAATGTAGTATTGGATTTACTTTATTTTACACTTATTGTATAAGTTAAAAAACTAGAAATGCAAATATGCTTTCGTCAGAATAGTAGGTGTAGATTAGTTGTACCAGTCTCTTTTCATCTATTTAAATCAGAATTGGTTGACACTAGTTTACCATACGACGACGCTCAGATACGACATATCCAACCTTGATCATGAAGTTGAAATGAACAAAATAAAACAGAAGAGGGTCTCTCATGTTTTCTAAAACACCCTTTAGTTAGTTTAGTCGTGGACTAGGTTTCAGTGAGTCCGTGTGTGGTTTCGACAGGGAACTATTTGCGTTTGACCTCCGTCTGTCCCTAACTAGGGAGCTACCCCGCATAAAATCTAGTCTTTGGTACATCGGTACAGTGTGTAGTATCTGATGTGTAACGGAGTTGGAATTAAATAAATATTAAATCTGATATATAGTGATGATGAATTTTAAGTTCTTAAACGTCCCCATAGTTTTAAAATCTTTTATAGACGATTCGTATCATAATAATAATATGTATGCAACTGTTCATAATTAGGTATTAAAATACTCATGTGTTACTATTATACACACTACCCATATTCGTGTTTTACATGTAACGGGCTAGCCAGAAAAGTGCCGTCCATAATTTTTTTTTTAGTTGACTCGTCTTGGGAGATATCTGAATTACCCCTATGTATCATCATCATCATCATCATCATCAGCCGAAAGACGTCCACTGTTGGACATAGGCCTCCCCCATGGATTTCCACAACGATCGGTCCCATGCTGCCCGCATCCAGCGGCTTCCCGCGACCTTTACCAGATCGTCGGTCCACCTTGTGGGGGGCCTGCCAACACTGCGTTTCCCGGTACGCGGTCGCCACTCGAGGACCTTTCCGCCCCAGCGGCCATCGGTCCTGCGAGCAATGTGCCCTGCCCATTGCCACTTAAGGTTTGCAATTCTGTGGGCTATGTCGGTGACTTTAGTTCTCTTGCGTATCTCCTCATTTCTGATTCGATCACGCAGAGAAACTCCGAGCATAGCCCTCTCCATTGCCCTTTGGGTGACTTTGAGCCTTCTTACAAGACCCATTGTAAGCGGCCACGTCTCGGTTCCGTATGTCATCACTGGCAACACGCACGAATTGAAGACTTTCGTCTTGAGGCACTGCGGTAGATGTTCCGAGAAGATGCTACGTAGCTTCCCGAACGCTGCCCAGCCGAGTTGGATTCGTCGATTAACCTCTTTCTGGAAGTTGGACTTACCCAGTTGGACTATTTGTCCCAGGTATACGTACTGGTCAACAGCTTCCAGAGTAGAGCTCCCAACAGTCACTGGAGTGGGTACGACATTGGAATTCGACATGATTTTCGTCTTGTCCATGTTCATTTTGAGACCCACTTGTTGGGACACCCTACTGAGGTCGCCGAGCATTGTGCCAAGGTCATCCATGGTCTCAGCCATGACTACGATATCATCTGCAAATCGAAGGTGCGTCATGTACTCGCCGTTTATGTTGATGCCAAGTCCGCTCCAGTCCAAAAGTTTGAAAACGTCTTCCAGCGCAGCTGTAAACAGTTTCGGTGATATAACGTCACCCTGTCTTACACCACGCTGCAGCTGGATTGGCTTCGTGTTATGGTCCTGGAGTCGAACTGACATAGTGGCGTTTTCATACAACGACTGCAACACTTCGATGTATCGATAGTCTATTTGGCACCTTTGGAGTGACCGAAGCACGGCCCATGTCTCGATCGAATCGAAGGCTTTCTCGTAGTCCACAAACGCCAAGCATAATGGCAGGTTATACTCTTCGGTCTTCTGTATAACCTGCCGCAGCGTATGGATGTGGTCTACGGTACTAAACCCTTTTCGGAATCCGGCTTGTTCGGGAGGCTGGAAGTCGTCAAACCTGCGCGCGAGACGATTCGTGAGGACTCTCGAAAACAGCTTGTATACATGACTCAGGAGCGTGATGGGTCTGTAATTCTTCAATTGGGCCCTGTCTCCCTTCTTGAAGAAAAGCGCCACCACTCCCCTATGCCATGCGCTAGGCGTTCTGCCCTCGAGTATGACAGAGTTAAATAGCTTCTGAAGAGATTTCAAGACTGGTCGTCCACCTGCTTTCAGAAGCTCGGCTGTAACTCCGTCATCACCCGGCGCCTTATTGTTTTTGAGCTGTTTCAGAGCTACACTAATCTCGTACAGGCTGACGTCCGGGATATCTTCGGTGTAGTGTCGGGTTAATTTGGCTCTTGGGTCGGTCGCCTTTGTGACAGGTACTCGTGATGTCGCGTATAGCTGTCCGTAGAAGCTTTCGATCTCAGCCATAAGCTCAGGTTGCGACGAAATGATTCTGCCGTCCTCTGTCTTCAGCTTCGTCAGCAAACTCTGTCCAAGAGACAGATTTCTTGCGAACACTTTCGAGCCTTTGTTCCGCTCGATGGCCTCTTTAATACGATCAGTATTAAAGCGGCGTATGTCGCGAGTCAGAGACTTCGAAATCTGCCTATTGAGCTGCCGACGTGCATCTTCAGAGGACTGCAGACCCATCTCACGCCTTTTCTCCATGAGCTTGAGAGTCGGCTCCGAGATCTTGCTGCGTTTTTTGGTACGGATGGGCTTGCAGAACTTCGAGCCCACCGTAAGGACAGCTTCAACAAACCTGTCATTATAATTGTCCACGTCTACGCAGCTCTCTAGGCAATCGAAGCGATTTTGCAGTTCGAGTTGAAAGCGCTCGGGGTTTTGGATCCGGATGGCTTCAGGACGGAGCGTGGACTTCATCAGTCGATTCCTTTCGGCTTTGACATTTAGATTCAATGTGCCTCTTACCATTCGGTGATCGCTTCCCGTATTGAACGAATTGATCACTGAGACATCATTGAATATCCGAGTCTTAGTCGACATGATGAAGTCAATCTCATTTTTTGTCACGCCATCCGGACTTTTCCAGGTCCATTTTCGATGCAGCCGTTTTCTGAAGAAGGAGTTCATCATAAAGAGTCCCTCCTTCTCCATGTAATCGGCTAGCATTTGACCTCGGAAGTTCCGGATTCCAACTCCAAATTGCCCCACTTTCAACTCATCATCGCCACGTTTGCCCAGCCTTGCGTTGAAGTCCCCCATGACAACGGTGTAATGGGTCCTGGAAGCATGCATTGCCCGAGAAATATCCTCATACATGACTTCCACTTCCTCGTCGGGGTGCGTCGAGGTCGGAGCGTATACCTGTATGACCTTCAACGAATACCGTTTGGTGATTCTGAGTATAAGGTACGCCACCCTATTCGACACACTACCGATCTGTACAACATTGTTCACGAGAGACTTGTGGACAACAAACCCGACACCACCCTGGGACAGATCTTCGCCCTCCCGGAAATAGAGCAGGTTGCCGGATTTAAGGACCATCGTGTCCTCGCCCTCTCTTCGGACTTCTGATAGTCCTACAATACTCCAGCGAATCCTGCTCAATTCTTCCTCCAGTTCCAGCAGCTTCTCCTCGGTCCGCAGTGTGCGTGCGTTGTACGTTGCCAGGGCCAAGGTCGTTTGACGGGGGATTTTTGCCGCCCGGGGATTCTTCGCACCCCTGGTCCTGGCGCCGAGTCGGCGTCCGTCAGCGCCGCCACGGACTCCAACACCGCCGGGCACTTGGGGCCTCTTATCATGTACTATCATTTTAGGGGGGGTTTTGGGCCGTCTCCCACCACGCTGGCCCAGTGCGGGTTGGTGGGGAGCGCCAGAGCCTCGTCCGTTGGTCGGCAGGGTACACCGCGGGCAGGTGAGGTTGGCTTGGGTGCCGTTGGGTGTTAGGCGGCACCCCTCATACCCCTATGTATGTTCTACGATTTTTCATAATTTTCGAGTGACGATTTATTTGATGATTTTTTGCAAAATTGTGACTGAATCAGTTTCAATAATTTAAAAAAAAAAGGTAGAAGGTTTCTTCGATTTTATTTTGCTACTAAATCTCTATGAACTGTACATTTATGATTAAAAAAACAGCCTCATAACTTTAATGGAAGTTACAAAAAAAAAATACCTATAGTTGAGAATTTACGTTAAGTGAGTTATCATTTTATATTTTCAACTTAAATTTAAAAATGTAAAGACTCTAAGCTTTCATAATAATGATAAAAAAGTAAGTAGTTCAAGATAAAAAGAAACCGTTTTAAAATTAATTTGCTTGGCGTTTTGGTGTGTGTTTTACAAGAAATCAGTAGGTTTATTATCAGTCCTTATAGAATTCAAAATTAAACGTAGCTGTAAAATTGTTCACAATATAGAGCCGCAGCTGTTGTGCGCATATGTTGAACTGTCCATCCAGCCTAAAATTGTAGCGTAGGGGTGTACAATAACATTCGATCATCTACAGCAATAAACCTGCCTACACAATGCCTATACAATTTATCACTGGGAGCCGCTCGTTCATCCAGGGCCGGCGCGTCAGTGGCGCAATAGCATGTCTATATCAGGTACACGATCAATCGAATATATCAACTTTCCTCTTATTCAAGTCGCTCACTTTATTGACCTTGTACTAATTTAAAACGGAGCACGGCAAGTCGACTACCGTATTCATTTTACGTGTCTACGGCGCGTTGTACACAATCGAGTGACTCCTGAAACTGAGGTGTGCGTTTATCATTATCACTCGAAGCGTTATGTCAGTGGTGGAGTTTTCGTATCAGAAGGAGTATGATAAAAATCCTGAACTCAAGGTCGAAGATGTTATGATGATTCGAATATGGTTAAAAGAACAACCTCACTTGCCACACTCTTTTATCACAGGTTAGTATTGTTGTTTTGTAAAAAATAATGTCGCTTTAGTGCTGTATTTGTGTGTGTTTATTTTTGCCTATGATAAATATAGGTAGGTACTGTGTTAGTTATGTAATTGGGTGCATGCAACTCGTGTAACTAATAATAAATAAATAGATCTTAATAATAATGAAATAACGTTGTATATATTTGTGCAATGAAGTGCGTAGTAGATGCGTGGAAAATATTATCAGGTTTTAAAGATACTACAGGCAGCGCCTAGTGTTAGGGCAGTTTTACTAGTAGGCATTTTGCTCTACTCATTGTATGATGATTATGTAAGTATTCCGAACCTATTCTTGAAATGTTATCTCCACTAAAAGTTAGGTTCGATAGACACTTGGTCGCACGCTCCCGGTGGCGAAGGAAGGCGTCAAGCCTTTTCCAGAAATGAATAAAAAAGGTTGGGTAGGTAAACAAGGAAGACCCCGCACCAGGTGGACCGACGATCTGGTGAAGATCGCGGGAAGCTGATGGATGCGCGTAGCACAGGACCGATCGATGTGAAGATCCTTGGGGGAAGCCTATGCTCAGCAGTGGGCGTCGAACGGCTGAGATGATGATGATGAGGTAAACAAGTCTAAGTCATTTTCCAGTGTTTGAATTGAAAGATAAATCTTTTTTTATTGTTATTATTACTAAGTAGCTACACCCATTAGGTATATTACATTTTTATCTAAGATATTACGCATTCATCTTATGACGTCTCATCCCATTTCCTTACTGATCCTAAACTAGTATTTTTAACTCAACCTATGATATTATTTTAATATATTTTTAATATAACCTAAATGAGTCCCTTACTCAACCCAAGGCAAGTATATATTTATTGTTATAAATAAAAGCTAATTTATATAAATGGCAAGGGCTAACAAAAATTATACTGTAAACGCATATGTACAACAACGTTTGACCGTTTATATAACATCATTTACAAATATTGACTATTTCTCAAATAGTGTAAACAAACTTAATGATGAGTTATTTAATTGTTTGTTCTCTATAATTGAGGTATATCGATTTTTCTTATTGCGAACTATACAATGTGAATTTAAAAGTTTGTCTTGTTTTTCATCGATCGATTTCACGATCACTAACATTATAGCTATTAACAGGATTGTTACCATGTACCTTGTTTTTTATGAGCCTCCGATATTTCGTCACTGTTGCAAGCGCCATGATCACGGAGTAACTGAAAAAACAAAGTACATGGTAACAATCCCGTTAATAGCTATAATTATAGTATCTGCGTCCTGTGCTCGTGTATTATAATGAAGAACCAAATGTCGATTAACATAAGCCTTTAAAACTATCTGTGTTCCTCTTAAGTATTTTTAGACTTATGCGTTGGTACTCTAGGTGTATAACCTTAAATATTTTCATTATTTTTTTTCAGACTTGGATATAATTTTGGCGCTTCATTGTTGCGGTTTCGACATTGAGATGACAAAGCGGGTGATTGACCTCAACTATACTCTCCGAACTTTGTTCACTTTTTATTCATACAGACAACCAGACAAATCCTTAGAAACAGCTTATACGTGGTTTGTAGATTTATTACTAGTTGTATTTTACGAAGGTGATATGAATATGTTGGCCTCTTGCAATACGATTTTGTGTATTGGTCTAGGTTCTTATCTTTAACACAAATTAATTAAATTAAATTTTAAATTAATAATATTGTGAATATAAATAGGTAGAGTATTAAATTATTTTTACAAAATACTTGTGAAGGTTTACACCCCGGTAAATTTCTTGAGCAATGACCATAGACTGCGCAGTAACAATTTCACACACACAACCGTCTACTACGCAAGTTTGTCTGTGGTTTTGCTCAAGAAGTTTGCTGCTATCTATGTCGTTTTACAAGATACGATGGCTGTATGGGTTCAGTTCCCCTGTCTCTTCAGTTGTATCTAACTACACTCAAACTAGACAAAATATAGAAAAAAAAACATATGTCTTTTTGTTGATTCTAGGTTAGTAACACCATTGATCACTCCAACACTGAAGGGATATCGTGCTGTATATTGCCACTTGTTGGATTCAGATACAAAGAAGTTTGTTTATAGTGATGTCGTGAGGTAAAAAAATATCTTATTTTAAAAAGTTAATACTATAAGTAATCAAAAATTAATAGGAATCATGCTTCTTCTTCTCTTTATTCGTCTTCTTCTTTTTTTCCTTCCGGATAGTGAAAGACGCAGGTTCGAATCCTGGCTGATATCTGGATCGATTGGAATAATTTTTTCTAGCATAATTTGTCATTAAACATTTCTAATTTTTATTTTGTTAAGTAGGTAATTAAAAGAAATCGTTTGATAAATAAGTATTAGTAAAGCTACATACCTATTATGAAAACTTTAGCAGCAATCAATAAAATATAGGTTTTTTTTTATGTTAAAATGATGGCTATCAAGCGTATGGCGCGCCTGATGGTAAGCGGCCACCATAGTCCATAGACGCTTGGGATACCAAAAATATCAATCGCAGCGTTACCACGTGGAGCCCTGGAACCTTACTCACCAACAGAAATCCACCCTCAAAAAAAACAACACCATTAAAAGGTAGTGTGAATTTACTACCTATGGTCTTCCTGTATGGTGGAGGTTATTTCTCCAGTCGGGCGTTCCAATTTGAGCGGAAAATTCGTTATGCTTTACCTCTCTTAAATGAGATTTTTCTAGGTCCTTCATGATGGTAATGGACCTCTGGCAATACGAAGAAGGCACTTGGCCGGGCGTGGTCATCGTGGTCAATATGGCAAACGTGACAATCGGACATGTGTCTGGAATAGACCTTAATGTGGCGCAACAATTTTTCTATTTTCTGCAGGCAAGGGTTTTTTATTCAATATTCTTCATATTCTTATTCTTCATCTCATTATCGTCACTATCATCAATATTAGTTATGTATCTACTTACAAGCATGGTATAGAGGGAACGTGTTTTAATTTATATTTCAGTGATGCACCCTCGTCGCTCTACCACCCCCTATAACTTCACACATATTCAGTGTTGGTGTAGTATCACAATATTTCAGTGATGCACCCTCGTCGCTCTACCACCCCCTATAACTTCAACATATTCAGTGTTGGTGTAATATCACAATATTTCAGTGATGCGCCCTCGTCGCTCTACCACCCCCTATAACTTCACACATATTCAGTGTTGTTGTAGTATCACAATATTTCAGTGATGCACCCTCGTCGCTCTACCACCCCCTATGCGCACGTCTCATTTAATGGTTTTATTCCACGTATTTTTTCTTACGGTTTTACTATCACATTTTTTTCAGTTCGGTCGTGCAGCAAAATCCCTATCCCCTCCAAGCCTGCCGTAAGGAACTTCGTCGCGCCTGCGCACGTCTCATTTAACGGTTTTATTCCACGCATTTTTTCTTACGGTTTTACTATCACATTTTTTTCAGTTCGGTCGCGCAGCAAAATCCCTATCCCCTCCAAGCCTGCAGTAAAGAACTTTCGTTCCAAAAAAATATTACCTTAAAAGATGCCAATTGTTACTGTATCCCGCAAAGATGAGTAATAAGACAATTAGGTTATAAATTCTACGCGATGGGAGAGTTATCTTTCACTATTTGTTTCCGCATACATAAGATTCAACATTTTAAAACATGCTTCATACCTACCTAAAAAAACTAAAAACCTAAAACTAAAAAAATGTATACACTGATTTTAAAAAATAACGTGTTTCTCAATTGAATTGTATTATGACTTTCCATTCGACGTATTTCTTTTCCACGTTTTTTTTATTCTGTTACAGAAAGCCATGTTCATTCGCCTCAAAGAATTCCACTTCATTAATGCGCCAGGTTTCGTTGACAAAATGCTTTCCATGTTAAAACCATTCCTGACACTGGAAATGCTGGAAATGTTGAAAGTGCATCAAGTGGGTTCAGATAGTTTGGACCGGTACATACCGAGAGCAGCGTTGCCAAAAGAGGCGGGCGGCCTAAATAAAGATTGCACTACATTAAGAGGTACCTACGGAATATTGATTAAACAATACTTCATTTTAACTCGGGAAACTTAATATTTATTTGGCAAACAAAATACCCACCCTCTCTTGGCCTGCGCAGACGAAGGATCTTTGTCCGCAGAGGACAAAAGTCCCCTGTATAATGTGCGAACATTTGTTCCCCGATAATTTAGAGAAGAGCACGCTAAATAGTAGTGAATATTATCAGATTACTTTGTGTTGTAAATGACATGAAGTTTAAGACAAAGAGAAGACGTATTAAAATAGAATACTGGGTCCATCTCTTCTCAAGTTCGCTGTGTGCGTTGCTGCGCCTAGTCACTTTTGTCCTGTCCGGTATCTCAGTGTCCTTGGTTACTCGGAGGATTTTTGCAGGCGTTACTTTTAATCCCTTGTGTGCGTTCTCGATGCAGTTGCAAGAATTCTATTTTGGCAGACAAAAATGTCCGCTGTCAAAGGACCCTCGTCTGTGCAGGTTAAGGAAGACTCACCCACAGACTTATCTTGATGTCAATTAATCTCATGTGTTGTCTTAGTATTTGCTATCGCAAAAACTGTTAGTAATTATATCAAACATTTGTAAATTGACGTCTTTTAGGGCGTGTCGTATTTATAAAATTACAACCATAGATAAATGATTGGTCTCGCTTCTCTTGAATCGAGACCAATCATTCATCTATGATTATAACGTTATTTGGTGTTGTGTTATGTTGCAGATGAAATATGGGAGAAGATTAAGTCCAATTCACATTTCTTTGACGAGGAAGCAAAAAAGAGAGTCGACGAATCAAAAAGACCTGGGACTCCGATTACTATTAGCTCAATATTTCCTAGTATGGAGAGCTCTTTTAAGAATCTCTGTATAGACTGATGACCAATTGTGAATATTTTTTATTACCTACAAATGTACATTAAGAAAATATTTTAAGATCATTTTGTTTTCTTTTTTACTCCGAGTATTTTAAATTAATGATGATCTTTCAGTAATATATCTAACAGGGTAGATTTAGGAGCAACAGCATCTATCCTGCTCCATCATCCGTGACAAACGGCCTGCTCAATGCCAAATTAATCTGGCCGCGTAGCGTTTAATCAAAAACTGCACGCACCGTAACATTTAATATTTTCCCGGGACGTTATCTAATTTGGGCCAGAATAGCCGACTGTCTTGATTGAGTGGAACGAACGCTATCCGACGCGTCCAAGAGGCGATTCATCGCTTTCTTGGTTGCTAGATTTCCGTTCAAACAAAAGAATAAAAAATACGGCACCGAAGTAAACTTCGGTTTTTTTTCGATTTATTACTATGTATTTGTAAAAGTTAATCTTTTAGATCATAATTTATATATTGGTTCTATCTATGCTGGCCTATATTATTTTATATTAAACTTAGTTAAAATATGAAGATACTACAGGGCATAAAGATAATTTGTTATTTCACCGTAACTATAATGATATTGAATTCTTAAGAAAGAAATTTGTTGTCGCTTATTAAATTTACATTTTGTTGGTGAAAATTTTATAACACTTCTATTTAGCAGTGTCGCCGCACGTGACAGTGCTGTCGGTCGCTGACGGAGAGGAAATTGCTTCGTTGCGATTGCGGAGTGAGTGCGAGGCGACGAGGCGGCCGATCTAGGAACCTTTTGTGTCCTTCTAAAGTAGGGACAGAAATCTCTTGCCTCTTGGGCAATATTAAAAGACAGAAAAAAATATGTTGGTACAACAACATACTTTAAGGGAATTGATGCTGTGTGTTTTTATATTATCACAAAGAGATTATAACATCATTTTGAATCGACTCTTCCTTAGGTATCAGTACTAATCATCACCTTATTTTGACTAACTTTAAAACTGATTACTTGAAAGTGATCTTAAAATGATTGCTTTTATTATATTTTAATAATTAAAAATTTTAAATGAAGCTGTGTATAATGGTTACGCAATCTAAACGGGATCGTTATCCCCCGTTCGGATCGTTCCCCGTTGAGAATCGATGTAAAAGAAAAAATTCTAAATATTAGAAGAAAAACACCAGTACTCTGGTTTCTTAACATCTTCTTCAAGAATTCCAGCGCCCACAAGCGGGCATTTTTTTCACATTCACACCAAATAGTCTAACCACAAAGTAAGCACTGTAAGGTTGTGTTATGGGATGGGTGGGGAACGGATAGAATTCGTTATACTAATAAATATGTAAGTATATTTTATCTAAAAATATATAAACATCCATGTCTCAGGCACAAATGCTCGTATATCATATACTAAACATTTGCCCCCACCGGGATTCGAATCCGAGACCTCTGAGAAGCGACGCCATGAAACCTATATAGCACTTGGCCACGGAGGTCGTCATATTGCCGCCCACTACCATCATTTATCATCATTTTAACACCACTAGTGTCATCATTTTAATCAGCCTATTAATTTCCCCACTGCAGGCCTACGGGCTTTCCCCTTTGAAAGGAAAAGGGAGATTGGGCCATGACCCACCACGAAAACCAAGTGCGGATTGGTTGAACCTTTTTGATATACTTGCGCATTTATTTTAAAAAGTGTTTACTGGATATTTCGGGGCTTTTGTATAAGTATTTATTGTTTCTTATTTTACATTACCTCATGGAAGTTTACCTCAATACATGTTTGTTAATTTGATGTCAGCTTTCAATTTTTTTTTATTTTATAAAGGTTCCTAAGTATTGCACAGTAGTCATGAAAAAACCTGCTTGATCTATATACCTATATATTATGATCTAAATACATTAAATTTATTATAAATAAGAAGGCTGAAGAAAAAGACAAAATTAATGATTTCGTGTCTTCATAATTTCAAATTCAACTTTAAAAGAAATGTTTGTAATAAGTTAATTCAAAAGTTTTTTTTACTACTAGGTAATAACGTTAATAAACTTTGTTACAATAAGTTTCACCAGCTGTCCACCTTTCATATGCTTAAGTTTTAGTAACTCTTATTTTTGAATGAAGGATTCTAAATGTCAAAGAATTTTTCAAATCCGTCCAGTAGTTTCGGAGCCTATTCAATACAAACAAACAATCAAATCCTTCCTATTTATAATATTTTAATAGTATACAGGGCGTCCCATGGGTTCGTCACACGGAGGGAAAGTATATTCAATGTTGAAGATAGGATTTTACTGAAACAAGACATCATTTTATTTTTAATAATAAGTAGAACTACATTCATAGTTTTGAAAATTCGCCTGCCAAGACCGCGAATCGAACTCGTGAAATGTGAAACAAAAAAAATACATCTATTTTATGATAACCGTCGAAAGGGATTGGGATGAGGATTATTTTTTCATAAATAACAAAGCATTTTAAATAATAAGAAAAATCACGAAATTAGGCTTTTTTAATAATTGAACACAAACTACAACAAAAAAGACACGGTGCTAGGTTTGTTTAAGTATCGCTTTATTATTATTTTTACGTATATTAGGGTATTATTAAGTGAGCAGGTACTATTTAGTAAATACTTTGAAATGATAAAATTAGCTGTTGGAAGCACGGAAAAGTAAGAAAAATTTTCCTGAATAAAATTTTAATTTATTGATCTTTCTTTCATTTAAAATGTTATTTAGGTAAAAATAATCTTTATGATTAACCCTTTCAATGGTTATCATAAAAAAACGTACAGTGTTTTTTTTTCAAGTTTCTCGAGTTTGATTCCTAGTTGCAGCAAGCGATTAAAAAAACTGTGAATGTAGTTCTAGTTATTATTAAAAACAAAACGATGACTTCTTTCAGTAAAATATCCTATCTTCAATATTTAATATACTTTCTGTCCGTGTGACAAACCCATGGGACGCCCTGTAGTGCTATTCTGTAAAATTATCACCGATCCGCATGGGATCCGCGCGTTTAACATACAGTAGGGCGATTCCGTAAAATAAAATCTCGCTTCCGATCTCGGTAGTTGCCATTTTAGACATTAGTTTAATATGCATTACGCCATTACACGGTAAAATGTCGCTATGGCTGTTGAAGTAGCCAGTATTAATTATTTGAGATTTGTCAGAAATCCGAATAAATGAGATCGTAAGTGAGATTGCATCTTACAGAATATCTATGTTGATACTGATATAGAATAGCACAGCTGTATATAAATGTGAAGTGAAATGAAAGTGACTTTATTTGTTTGATGCGCTTTCACGTCTAAACTAGTGAATCGGTTATGGTAAGAGTAATTATTTTGTATATATTGTGATAGATGGAAACCTTGATAGACGCAAAACATTGCTAAGAGCTGCATTACTCGAAAATATTATTTGAAGAGGTTGAAACAGGGGAGGAAAATCGGTATGGGAAAAACTTTCCACCCAGATAATGTCGGAGAAATCCGCTAGTATCTACCTAATATATATTTTCGCTATGCTTCTATGTTCTTCTTTTATAACAATAATAATAACTTTAACTTTATTTAAAAAAGTACTCAGTAGGAACCTATAAAGTTTCTTGTGTGAATGTATGTATGTATGGAGTTCGAAAAATAGTTTTAAAATGTCCCTTAGAGCATTGTGTTGATACAATGATTCAGCCGACAATGGAGTAATGGTTCAAAAATAAAATAGCTAAAGCAGGCTGCAATCGGCGAACCATTGTCCCTAAATACGTTACAAAAGAAATTCGAATCTAGCAGAAAGCTTCCATTGCGTTGCAGATAAAAGTAGAACTTAGTTTTATTATTACTCAATCATTTATTGCATTCCGTTTTTAAGCGTTTTTCAGATAAACCTCTAGTTGTAAACGAAGAAGAATGAAAAAAAAGCGAGTGTGCTTATGACCACACGTGAAGTGAAACTTCTTTAGCTCCAATGATCTGAAAATCATAAACTTAACATGAAGATTTGTTGATAGAAAAAAAACCACCCTCCAATTCGCGCTGGGTCCGTTATCACCCACCAAGCGCTAGATTCATGTATTTTGTGGTGGGTATTGTCCATTGTTTACCGAAGAGTCACCGATGACACTACTCGTAACGCGAAATCGTAACAGATTCGCTAGTTTACCCCCAAAGTCAAACGTGCCTGAAGAAATTGACTTCAAAAATATTCTATGTCATTTCAAGGAAATCGAGATATCATTTGAGATACTTCTGTAAACAAAAGATTAAATAAAGCAAGTTTCACTGGTAAAGATACACTGATTTATTTGTTGATGACGTTTCGTCCTTTTTTAGGCTGCGTCGTCAGAATTAATTTTCAAATAAATCAGTTCATCTATACCGTTGAAACTTATTTAATTTAATGAGTGGTGTGCGTGTAAACCTGAGAAACAAATATAAACAAAATATTCTTTTTTTATATATTAATCTCATTGACGCCACATTTTCCATTGCATGGATGTTGAGATTTAAAATGGTTTTAAGGCAATATTTTCTTATATAAAAGAATGACTAAAAAGAATATGCCCGCCTGATGGTAAGCGGCCGCATTTGAGATTCTGTACAGTATCACACATAGTATAATAATTTCCTTAACTATTTCCTTTTCCTATATTGACAGTTTTTTCTATTTGCGCGGAAAATGTAACTTTCGCGTTATCATATTTTATGTATTTGTTTTACTCGAAGTCCAGCATTATAAATAATGATTATTGTTATTATTAATTAAATAAAACCTTAGGATACATTTATTTAATAATAAGATGATTTATATAGTTTTGAAGAACGTGGCTATATCTTATAGCTACTCTTGTTTCAGAAAAGTTGATTTATTTACTTACTTATTTCTGGAGAGACCTTTTTTCAATCATGTTTCTTACGCACGAGCTACAAGTCTTTTAATATTAATATCTTGTTGTTATGCTGCCTTGGTAGGCGTCTCTAGAATAATTTGATAACAGTGTTCGCAGGGTCTGTTAGTTAGTTGCAATTAGTTTATTAATGTGGAGAAGGTACATAACCTACTCAA